CCTCAACATAATAAAGGTCATATTTTAAAAAACAACAGCTAACGAAGGTGAGAGACTGAAAGCTTTTTCTCTAGAATCAGGAACAAGACAAGGTTGCCTGCATTCACCACTTCTATTTGAAATAGTACTGGAAGTCCTAGCCACAGCAATTTGGCAAGAAAAAGAAATAAAAACATTCCAAATTATTAAAAGGAAATAAAGTTATTATTATTATTTTTTTGAGATGTAGTCTCACTCTGTCACCCAGGCTGGAGTGCAGTGGTGCAATCTTGGCTCACTGCACCCTCTGCCTCCCAGATTCAAGCTATTTTCATGCCTCAGCCTCCCAAGTAGCTTGGATTACAGGTGTCTGCCACCATGCCCAGCTAATTTGTCTATTTTTAGTAGAGATGGAGTTTTGCCATGTTGGCCAGGCTGGTTTTGAACTCCTGACCTCAGGTGATCCACCTCCCTCGCCCTCCCAAAGTGCTGGGATTACAGGTGTAAGCCACTGCGTTCGGCCGAAATGATCTTATATGTAGAAAACTCCAAAGATTTAACACATACCCAAACACAAAAGTACTGTTAAAACTAATGAATGAATTCAGCAAAGTTGCAGGACACAAAATCAGCACACAATAATCAGTTGCATTTCTATACACTAAGAATGAGTAATCTGAAAAGGAAATTAAGAAAATCTCATGTACAATAGCATCAAAAAGAATAAAATACTTAGGAATAAACTTAACCAAGGAAGCAAAACACTTGTACACTGAAAACTACTAAATGTTGTTGCTGAAAGAAACTAAAGACACCAAATAAATGGAAAGACATCCTGTGTTCATGGATTGGAATACTTACTATTAAGATGTTAAAACTACCCAAAGCAATCTATCTATAGATTCAATGCAATGCCTATCAAAAACCCAGTGGTATTTTTTTTTTTTTTTTTGCAGAAATAGAAAAATCCATTCTAAAATTCATATGGAATCTCAAGGGACTTTGAATAGCCAAAACGATCTTGAAAAAGAAGAACATGAGAGGTCACACATTTCCTGATTTCAAAACTCACTACAAAGCTACAGTCCGGTTCTGGCATAAAGACAGACATACAGATCAATGGAGTAATATGGAAAGCCCAGAAATAAACCTCCACATACATGATCAAGTGTTTTTTGACAATGGTGCCAAGACCATTCAATGGGAGAAAGAACAGTCTTTTCAACAAATGGTGCTGGGGAACCTGGGGAACCTGGATACCAACATGCGAAAGAATAGAGCTGGACTCAGACGGGCACAGTGGCTCATGCCTGTAATTCAAGCACTTTGGGAGGCTGAGGGGGGCAGATCACGAGGTCAGGAGTTTGAGACCAACTTGACCAACATGGTGAAACCCTTTCTGTACTAAAAAAAAAATACAAAAATTAGCCTGGCTTGGTAGCACATGCCTGTAATCCCAGCTACTCAGGAGGCTGAGGCAGGAGAATCACTTGAACGTGGGAGGCGGAGGTTGCAGTGAGCCAAGACAGCACCACTGCATTCCAGCCTAGGTGACAGAGTGAGACTCTGTCTAAAAATAAAGAATAAAGCTGGACTCTTACCTAATACCATATACAAATATTAGCTCAAAACAGATCAAAAATCTAAATGTAAGATCTAAAACTGTAAAACTCTCAGAAAAAAAAAAGGCAAAAGCTTCACAACATTGAATCTGACAATGATTTCTTAGATATGACACTAAAGGCACAGACAACAAAAGAAAAAATAGTTAAATTGGATGCATTAGAATAAAAATTTCTGTGCATTAAAGAACACAATCAACAGAGTGAAAAAGCAAGCCATGGGATAGGAGGAAATATTTGCAAGTATATATAACTGGTAAGACGTTAATATCCAGAATATATAAAGAACTCCTAAAACAACAGAAAACAACCTGATTTTAAAATGGGCAAAGAACTTAGACATTTCTTCAAAGAAGATATGCAAATGGTGAATAAGCACATGAAAAGATGTTCAACATCACCAACCATTAGGTAATTGCAAATGAAAACCACAATGAGATACCATTTTATATTCATTAGGATGGCTATTATTTAAAAAAAAATAATAAATGATGATTAGGAACTGGTAAAATTGGAACTCTTGTGCCTTGCTAGTGGAAATGTAAAGTGATACAGCCACTATGAAACCATTTTTGTGGTTTCTCAAAAAATTAAACACAGAGTTACCATATTATCCAACAATTTCATTTCTGGGTCTGTACCCCCAAAAGAATTAGGTGCAGAGACTTGAAAAGATATTTGTATGCCTGTGTTCACAACAGTGTTATTTACAATGACCAAAGGATAGAAACAACTCAATTGCCCATCAATGTCTTAATGGATAAAGACAATGTGACATATCCATACAGTGGAATATTATTCAGCCTTCAAAAGGAAGAAAATTCTGACACATGGTACAACATGGATTAATCTTGAAGGCATTATGTTAAGTGAAACATGCCAGTCATAAAAAGACAAATACTTTACAACTCCACTTACAGAAGATACTTAGAGCAGTCGAATTAACAGAGGCAGAAAGTAGAATAGTAGTTGTCAGAGACTGAGGGAAAAGGAGAATGAGAAGCTACTATTTAACAGGTACAGAGTTTCAGTCTCGGAAGATGAAAAAATCTTTGGAAATGAATGGTGTAGATGGCTGCACAACAAGGTGAATGAATGTACTTAACGCCAATGAATTGTACATTTCAAATGATTAAATGATGCATTTTATGTTATGTAGATTTTGCCAAAATTAAATAAAACTTAGAATATTCAGATATGTTTTCTTCTTCTTCTTTTTTTTTTTTTTTTAGATGGAGTCTCGCTCTGTCGCCCAGGCTGGAGTGCAGTGGCACAATCTCGGCTCACTGAAAGCTCTGCCTCCTGGGTTCATGCCATTCTCCTGCCTCAGCCTCCCGAGAGGCTGGGACTATAGGTGCCCGCCACCACGCCCAGCTAATTTTTTGTATTTTTAGTAGAGACAGGGTTTCACCGTGTTAGCCAGGATGGTCTCGATCTCCTGACCTCGTGATCTGCCTGCCTCGGCCTCCCAAAGTGGTAGGATTACAGGCGTGAGCCACTACGCCTGGCCTTATTCTTTTATTTTTTTTTGAGATGGAGTCTCACTGTGTTGCCCAGGCTGGAGTGCAGTGGCATGATCTTGGCTCACTGCAAGCTCTACGTCCCGGATTTATGCCATTCTCCTGCCTCAGCCTCCCGAGTAGTGTTTTATTCTTAGTAATCAAAAACTTGAAACAACTAAATATTCATCAACACTTAAAAGATCTGTAAATTGTGATATATGCATACAGTGAAATACTATACAGCCAATGGAAAAGGAAATAACTACTGGCTAGAGACAACACATGAATGAAATCCTCCACAGACATTATATTGGACTGAGAAATTACCCACAAAGATACAGAGTCCATTATCCCATTTATATGAAGTTTTAAAAGCAGGCAAAAACAGGCTATACTGATAAGTCAGGACAGTAGTGACTGATGAGGAAGCCTCCTGGGGGACAAGAAATGTTCTATATCTTTTTCTGGGTGGTAATGACACCAGTGGATACAATATGTAAAGAAAAAAAACATCAAACTACTCACATAAGATTTGTATAGTTTATGTTCAGTGTAACTCAGGGTTTTTTTGTTTTTTGGTTTTTTTTTTTTTTGAGATGGAGTCTCACTCTGTCGCCCAGGCTAGAGTGCAGTGGCACAAACTCAGCTCACTGCAAGCTCCGCCTCCCGGGTTCACGCCATTCTCCTGCCTCAGCCTCCCGAGTAGCTGGGACTACAGGAGCTTGCCACAATTCCCAACTAATTTTTGTATATATAATAGAGACAATTTTGCCATGTTGGCCAGGCTGGTTTTGAACTCCTGACCTCA